AGCAGGGAGGTCTCGCATCGGATCACGTGGCCGGATGAGCAGCGAACGGGCCATGGCGCGGGGGCACCTCGCCTTATCTGGAGGGCTGAACTGAGCGACGACCATCAGGTCTTACCCGCTGCTGGTCAGATGGAGGGGTGTGTCACGTGAAACGCCAATGCCCAAATGAGTTCGCGATCAGGCGCACAAAGTAGGGCTGGTCTCTTTGCCAGTTGCCAGACCTACACAGTCAATGGTAACCTGCTAGATTCTGGTAGAAAGGTATCGTAGACGGCCGGGTGCTCACCATGTCACCATCATAGTCCCCCAGACAAAACTTGACCCGAGCACTGCATTGATTTTTCTTTCGGGATATCCGCTGAAAGCTCTCGGTACGTGCAGTCTGCCCATTGGGATGGCTGCGAGCGACGACGGTGGACAATTTTTTCACTGTTGTTTAAGACCTACCTCATGACAGTAAATCTGGATAGAATTCTTTTAAAAGGTCAACACATTGTGTTGAATTGCTCTGACGTGCTGAGACAGATTAAGATACGGCTCAGGAAGCCTTTGTGCATACCTCCTTTGTTTTTGCCCTGCCTTTGTGTTCGCACCGAAAGAAAGCTGTCAGCAGATTCAGATGACATACTGATTGGCGAGCGATCGGACCAGATCGAGATTATGAACGCCTTGATTAGGCTGTGCGCCAACGATATTCCTCCGCTTGTTCGGAGTCGCGCAGACCGATTTGTGACTACCCACAGACGCGATGTTGTTGGTTATTTGTGGTCTGCAGATGGCGCTTACGTATCTGACGCGGCACCACCCGATGTCAATATTGGCAATGGGCAGACACGGCGCTGTATCCAGCAGCGAAACGCAGTTTCTTTGTATAAAACCGAAAGAGATTCTGGCCCAGCTTGCGATTGGCGATGAAATCAAGGTAACATCACGCGAAAAAAAAATGGTCTCCTTGTTGCATTCATTTCCGGGGCGTATTTTCTAGGGGTTACGCCGATGTGGGATTCTACGGTGGGGCGACATCGATTTGGAGCTTAACACGCGCCCGGGTAGCCGACTAGATACCCCTCGCTCGGGTGGGGGTCAATTTGACCCACCTGAGATCTCGGGAACTAAGAAAGCTAGGAACACCAAATTTACAGGGTGTCTTGAAATGTACGTAAACTCGCTTAGGCCAAAGTTTGAGCTTCCTAGGTGAAGACCTTCAGGCCAAATAAAGTCAAACAAGGAAAAATTCCAGGTTAGTCTGCAAAGTGCCCCCAAAACGTAGCTAACCATTTCTAAGCAAAAGGTCACATTCTCATTTAAAGTCTGTGACCTTGTTTGCCCTTTTGAAGGTTGAGGTGACCAAAATCATACAAGGTCGCTTTGAGTTTTGCATTTGAATAAGCAACAAAGATTATGCAAGGTAGTATGCTCCTAAAACAAAATGTCCACCCAGGTCATCTTAGGTTAATGACCTGCTGTGACCTCTAAGAAGTCAATGGAAGATGTTTGATATGATTTCTGGTGTCAATAAATTTGAAATGGGCACCAGAAACTATACCATACAGCAAGCCCAAGAGTAATAAATCAGGTTTGTTTTGACCTCGGTCTGACCTTCATACCTAACCTTAGGTCAACTTAATTTGCTCATTCAATATTTGTGGTGCCTAAGAAAGCATCTCAGAGATGTTTGGCTTTGTCAAACACTCTGTCGTTTTATCAGATTGAACGATTCCCTAGAAATTGCCTTTGTTGAAACCATGGCATAACTTTGACCTGTCATAGGTCAGCAACCTTACAAGTTGCATCTAAATGTGTGTGTAAAACGGTCCCCTATTCAACTGTCTACAGCTATGCAAAACTTGGCGTGGCTACCCCGCGCCGTTCGGAAACCGTTGCGGAAAAACCTTCGGGGGGGGGGGTCAATTTGACCACCATCCGAGCGCGTGTTAAATCAGAAACCAAACGTCGATTTTCAAAAACCGTACCCGGTGCCGTGGGGATGCATTTCATTTCCTACCACTAGGTTGGTAGATATCTTGATACATACAGGAATAAGAACACAACACACACAAGCAAAGAGCAAAACAGCAGGTGCTTTTTGCTGCAAACTGCAAAGAGCAAACGCAGTGCTTGCTTGACAGGTCAGTGGACGTTATCCGGGGCGACAAACCAGTTCACGCGTTTGGTGGCAATCACGGACAAACCGACACAGGTGGGCGATGAATATGTTCCAAACATCTGACTTGCTGATTGCAAGGCCAAACGCGTTGAGATCGCACTCATGTCGGATATGCACAGATGTCCTGGCAATGATGCCACTAACCCCTACTTCGCTGGCATGCAATGTCTTGACAATGCTGCTTACACTGGGCATTAGTCTTTGATTGAACGTCAGCTGCCGGCTAGTTGCTAGCATGGGACATGGAAGAAGCTCAAGCTCTTTACAGCGGGCATGGTTCCTTGTGCAGCGTGGCACCCTTACCAACTTCGTTATGCATGTGTGGGAACCAATACAAAGCTCTTAGAAAGCGTTCTTTCCACTCAGAGTGTCCCATAGTTCACAACCATGCATGTCAGCTCAACTTGCTTGAACAGTTGTATTAAAATGTTACTTTTTGCAAAACTAACTCGAGCTCATAGCATATGTACACAGAAATACAGGGAACGTTTCACTCTACGCGTATATTTACTGTCACTAAGACTACTGGAGAGTATGTGTCCTTGGAATTTATATTTCTCCAGCCATACAGATAAGAAGCCACTAAGACTACCATTTGGGAACATGAAGTAAAACAGGTGTGACATTCCATATTGTTTTTGAGGTTTGAAAAAACGTACACGCAGTTCGATTTACTAATGTAATGCGCTGAAAAGAGTGAGTGAGTGATCTGACGAACCTAAGCTAGCGAACGTTTTAATGAGCTATTTCCGCTATTCAGTTATCTACAGCTTTACAAAATTTGGCGCGGTTATGCGGCGCCGTTTGGAAACCATTCTGGAAAAACTTTCGGGGGGTCAATTTGACCCCCACCCGAGCGCGTGTTAAGACTTAGCGAAACGATGAAAGGAGCTGAGCATATTCAAAACTATTTTGATCACATCCAATCACATACCCTCGTATTGTACATATTTCCCCCAGTCTTATGCGCTCACTGCAGTTTGCTTTGCGCGGTAACAGCGATCGGTAGCCTTGGTCGATAATCTTATCGTTCGCGCCGTTTCCATTCGCGCCAACCTGCCTGTCGCCAAGCGCATGCGAACAGCCTGGCGCGTCAATGAATATATTTTAGTTGTTCGGACGGGGAAAGTTTCTCAAGCATCGCAGCCTTTCAGCACCAGCCTGTGGACAGGTCACAGCATGTGAGCCGGTTGCTCTTAGAGGACGGGCTCAGCGTGAAGTCAAGACAGAAGCAAGCAACTATGGAAAGCTGCAAACATTGTGTTGCCTGCATTGCCTGCTATGGCTTCAGTCATTAACAAACTGAATATTATCTTTTCACGACAAATTGTTGCCGCTACCTGACGTAACAATAACGTGACGTTTAACCCTAGTCATGATAGGCGGCAATTATGGTAGGTGCTTTGACACCAAAGCGTGTCCTGGATTTTCTGGCTTTGGAGCAGCGGCCGTTTGTGATGAACAATCCACGGCGATCTACGGCTGGCTCGGGCGGCGGGTGGCAACAGGATGGTACTACAGAATGGACTCAGAATTGAGCAAGACACATGCCAGTTTAAGTTAGGTATTGCCGCAGGGCATGGTCTCGTAGACATAATGTAAAGCTGCAAAGTACGGTTTTGTGAATAATTCGACCTTAGACCTGCCAACAACGAAAAACTAACACCAATCCCGAGGCCGTGTTCAGAACAATACACTGCTGTTCGCGGCTAAGCTCTGTATTAATTAGTTTGGAAACGCCAGAGCAGGATCGCATTACTGTCTCTCCCCCTATCAGTCTCAGTTGTGAAAAACGGCGAATCGGGGCGAGGGTTAAGGCACAATGAGCATAGGTGGTTAAAGACACATACAACACACATGTAGAAGGGATATTTCTATCAACCACATATTTCCTGGGCATAACATTACATAAATCCACACTTTTGCACTCTGATCTGTGAGTGCCAAAGCTCTCCCCTTATATTACCCCGGTGATGACACGACCAGATATTGCGGAAGCTAAAAAAAAATTCACAAGAAACAGACAATTGCACGAAATGCTTCATCTTTACCAAAACATAATCTAAATAACTTCACCAACAATCACGAAAATATCTGTAATACCTGTAAGCATTGGGTGCAGCAGTGTTTTCGTTACACTATTATTTTTTAAGATGCATTCGTATCGCCCTGCCATGAGGCTGTTGTAGGTGACCGTGGTCACACACCGAACTTAGTTTTCTTTGCTGTAGCGAATCGGATCTACTTAAGCCACAATGCCCCTCTGCCATGTGGTGTCCGGACCACTGCTTGGCGCAAAATCTGATGCACAACTTAGCCACATGCCAACTAATTAGCAAAATGCGCTTATATATATATATATATTTATATATTTATATATATATTTAAGCGCATTTTGCTAATTAGCTGGCATGTCGCTAAGTTGTGCATCAGATTTTGCACCAAGCAGTGGTCCGGACACCACATGGCAGAGGGGCATTGTGGCTAAAGAAGTATATATATATATATATATATATATATATATATATATATATGTGTGTGTAAAATAGGTATATATTTTTATATATGTATATTTATATATACATATACGTATATAAGCATATTTCAAAAATTGAAAAGCGTGTTTTGTTAAAAATCACAGCAGACTCAACATTGATAATATTTTCGAGTATTTTCTCAATAAATCTGATGACAGCTTTCGCATCTTCTTACTCTTCGTTTTACATGATCTCACAGCTCATAATACAAAGGAGATATAGATCGCCTAATTGCATGGTCTGGTATGAATTATATTTCTCAACGTTTCATCCCTCATTTGTCATATTATGGGATGATGGTTTTAGACAAATTCGATATCATAGTACGTAAACTTGAAACTCTTGTGCCTGGCCTTATTATGAATCCCATACCCACATACATCAGTTTTTGTAATACCGGTTAGCGCAAACACGCTACACACATATTACAACGCAGACATAAGGATTTACGCATCACAGACACCCATCATGGACAAAAAGCTGCGTTCATCCGCGACACTCAAAACGCTCACTGTTCCGGTGTTCTCCGCCCTTGCCAATACACAGCCCACTGGTAAGTGCACTGGCCCCCTCCAACGAAGTGCCTTTTATTATTTCAGCATCCCGACCAATGTCACGTGCTCGGTCTTGTCCCTGCTTGGAAAAACGGCTAGCAGGCCCAAACCAACGCAGAGCCGACGGCTCAATTCTGGTGGTGCCTGATCAACGTAGAGGCCCTCATCGACTCCGGAGGTCCGTGATCGGCGCAAAGCGCCCTCTGACAGGCACTGAGGGCCCGGGCCGCAGGGCCGGGATCCATCATACGAACTCTGCCGAGCCCTTCAGGCCTTTCGAAGCCACAAATTGGGTATTTGATCGTCTGCCCCCCCGAACCCCAAGGCGGGGGGGGGGGGGGGAGGGCGGAGCACGTGCCCCTGTACATCTCCTGTGTGCGTCATTGAAGGTATCTGAGCGGTGAATGCGACCCCCGAGCGACCAAACAGTAATTGAGTAGTTTCTCGGTTCCCTTAGTGCCCATAGTGGGAGGGATCACAGAGATCTAACAAGCTGTAACAGCCCTTATATACCAGTGTAACCCCGGCGGCCAGGAAGTCCCGACTGAGCGGCCAGAGGGGTCCACGAGTTTACCAGATGAGGCTTCTTAGGCTGGCAGACACTGCTACAGTGTTGTCTGAACCTCTATTCGACAACATTTTTTTTTTTTGCTCTTCTCATGCGGTGTGGTCATTTTTCGGACTTCGTGGATCTGAACGTAGCTCCCCTCAGGGGGTTCCTGGGCATCCTCGCCCCCCTCCCCCTCGACAGTCAGACCCTAATAAAGTCCTCAAACGAGACTTAGACCCAACCCATTTCTCGATTGGGTCTGAAGAGCTTTTCCATCCCCGTTCTGATTGACCACCCCCCCCCCCCCCCCCGTTCCGGCTACTATTGATACACATGATACATTGGTCCCCTCTCTGACACAGAAGGCCCTCTGACCTGGATGACTGACTTTGGATCGACGCAGGGCCACTCACCGAAGCAAAAATATCCCAATCGTATCCGGTTTAATAAATGGCGCAGTGACCCCAGTTCGACGCATTTGTGCCATACAGAAAACGGGCAGACGGACGCTGTCCACTGCTGACCCCCTGACTGACACGGGGCCTTTCATTTAAGGCGACCGTCAAGAAGGAGGAGGAGGGGGCGAGGGGAACCAGCTCCGGTCCAGCACGAGAGATGGAGACTGGGATGTCTAACATGTCCGGGTGTCCGGTCCGCCGGGATGTGTACCGCGGCGAACCGAACGGAACCGAGTCATAAACCTCGGGCTCTGACGTGAAGGTGGTGGCGTGCCCGACTTAGCTGGAAGTGTTTCGGCCGCGGACGGGCCGCCCACCGACAGGCCCCGCGCGCGTGTGGCGGGGCTCCGTTCTCGAGCGAGGGACGGCGCGTGCGTGGCTGCGTTCTTCATCTGGCGGCTGGGCTGCCTCGTCCACCGTCCCGCCGCGGGCGTGGCTGCCGGCCGGACCGTCGAGCTGGACAGTCTCTAAGCTCATCTATATATCCGAGCTCCATGTCCAACCGATTGTCGAGTATTTTCCCACATATTTACACTGACTGAGCGGTAGCGATGCCTGCGAATTTGGCGGGCGGCGGTTTGTGTGTCGGACGGGCTGTAATGCTGTTTGGGGCTTTACTTTTCACGGGCTGTCGGGGCCATTTCGAGGCGGAATGCCTCTGTTACGTAATTCGCCAGGCATCAGGTATGTCGGATGCGGTATTGGTGCGGCCGGAGCCCCATCCCAGGATCGAAAAGTTGAGCAAGACCCCAAACAACAAGGCCACAGCCAACAAGACCATAAACGGTCATCGCCAACAAGGCTGTAACCGACCATCGTGAACAAGATCGTGCTCGAACCCCTACCGTATTGCAACTGTATGTCAGACACGTGGTTTTAGCTTCCTTCCTCTCGTTGGCTTTCGTGGTGTTACTAGCCAATAAACAATTAGTTTTGTTCAACATTTTGCCACCGCGTGGATATCAGCCAGTTTGTGAAACCTTATCAGGTAGCGCGTATCTTCAGCAGCATGTCATCAACATGCACCATCAGCATATCTCCACCTCCATGTCAAACACCGAAAGATTTGTGAGCAGGGGCAGAAGCATGGCTCGCGGGTTTCATTCAACATTCAACTCGCAATCCCGGTTTAGTGAAACCGATGCGTATGCGTAAGTTTCTAAGCCTTATGCCTCAATGCTAGTACGACATCTACCTGTTCAAAAACAAATCTTGCCCACGTTCGAACAGCTTCAGACCTGAAGGTTCGGACAAAACCGGGAAAATGTCTTCGCGCATTGTGTCCTTCCCTATACGCCGGTTGTCAAGGATCGAACCGTGCAGAGAAACTATCAGATGTAGACTTACAGACTCTCAAACTATACTTTCATATCGTGTGCAAGCCACTGGCTGCCGGTCTGACCTGACCTAGACTGGCCCTTTTGCAGGCCCTGCTGCTGTCGGCGCTGTGTGCGAACGGGGTTCGGGCCGCCCGCTGCAACTGCCAGCCGGTCTCGCGGTGCCCGCAGGCGCCGGCCGCTGGCGCTGATTCGTGTCGGCTGCCCGGCAAACTGCGCGGCTACTGCTGTCCCCGGATGCCCGACACCTGCCCGACCACGAGCGGCAGCATGCGGCGCAAATGCCGTCCACTCGTGCTATGCCCGGAGGCGTTGGCCGACCCGGTCACCACCGGTGGCCAGGCTTGCCGGCTGGGCGACGGCTCCACGGGCGTCATGTGCAGCGACGCTGACATAAGCCCAAAGCAAAAGGCAGCGCGAACCCCCGAAGAGAGTAAATCCGACCGGCGGAATGCTGTGAGCCCGCTCTTGGGTAGCCGGGTGGTCACTCAGTTGTTCATAGTGGCTAAAGGTGGCGACATGCAAGAGGCGGCCAGGAAAGGCGCACGCGGCGTAAAGAACCAGCTGCTTCGTGGCGGCCCGGCAGCACCCTGGGACTCAGTAGTGGGCGTCTTCAATCTCAACTTCCGCTCAAGCCAGGATGTGCAGACGCTCTGCCTTCAGGGCCTACAGAACCAACTGGCGCTTCAAGCTCTCAACGACCAGGGTGGCGGAGACATGTTGCAGCTGGTCTCCAGGTACGGGGGTGGGCAGGCCGGTGCCAGAGCGTTTCCGGCGAAGCCCACACTACTTCCCAACTGCACTGTAGCAGAGCCCATCGTCTGCCGGAGCAGCATCTACCGCACAGCGAACGGAGAGTGCAATAACCTGCAACGTCCGCGCGAAGGCAGTGCGCTGACTGGCTTTAAACGGCTGCTCGAGAGCACGTTTGATGATGGCTTCGCATCCATCCGCTCGCGGAGCGTGACAGGCCGGCCGCTGCCGAGTCCACGACTCATCAGCGAGCGCGTGGTGGAGACCATTTCGAGCGAACTCAAAGGCTTCACCCTGTCCGTGATGCAGTGGGGCCAGTTTGTTGACCACGACTTCAACCACGCGCTTGTCTTCAACCTGGGCACCGCTGGCAGCATCCAGTGCTGTGAAAATGACGGTCGCAAGCTGCCGGCAACACCCCTGCACCCGCAGTGCATCCCCATCTCCATCCCGGCCGACGACCCGTTCTACAGCCAGTTCGGCCAGCGCTGCATGAGTCTGGTGCGCTCGCTGCCGGCACCGTCCCTGGACTGTATCGCACGCCCTTCCACGCCCATCAACGAGATAACCTCGCACCTGGACGCCTCCAACCTGTACGGCAGCGAGCAGGAGGAACAGGACGGACTGCGTACCTTCAGTGACGGCCTGTTGATCACCTCCAACAACAACCTGCTGCCACTGTCGAGCACGCCGGCCCGCCAGCGCACCACGCCGCGACCCACCGTCGGCCCCGGCACCGTCCCTCTGTACCTCCAACGCGGGAAGCGGTCAGCGCGCCAACGTCGGCAAACCCCAATACAGGAGCCGTGCGTGAACGACGCCAGCGTCTGCTTCCGTGCCGGTGAGTCGCGCGTCAACGAGCAGAGCGCACTAACCGTCATGCACACCATCTTCACACGCGAGCACAACCGCGTGGCAGGCGCACTGAAACAGAACCACCGCGACTGGGACGACGAGAAACTGTTCCAGGAGGCGCGGCGGATCGTGATCGCCGAGTGGCAGCACATCATCTACAACGAGTGGTTGCCGATCATCGTCGGGTTCGACTACGCCAGGGATCATGACCTGCTGCCGTTGACGTCCGGCTTCTCCGCCGCCTACGACAAGGACGTAAACCCCACCGCATCCAACGAGTTTGCCACCGCCGCCTTCCGCTTCGGTCACTCAATGCTGCGCGATATGTACCACCTGATCAACGCCAACGGCAACATCGTCCAATCGGTTAATCTCACCAGGACGTTCTTCAATCCGACTGTGGTGGGACAGAGATTCGTCGAGCACGCGCGGACTCTGGTGGCCACGCGACCCGAGACATTCGACGCCAACATCATTAGCAGTGTCCACGAACAGCTGTTCACGACCAACTTTCGGTTCGGGCTGGACTTGATCGCGCTCAACATCCAGCGTGGACGTGATCACGCAATCCCCACGTACGTGACCGTGCTGAAGGCCTGCAGGGGCGACACCGTCTCCAGCTGGGGCGACTTTAACCGCCTTATGGACTCCAGGGCCATCGACCAGTTGCGCTCCCTCTACGATGACCCACAAGATGTGGACCTCTTCATCGGCGGTCTGGCTGAACGGCGAGCCGCTGGTGCTCAAGTGGGGCCCACCTTCCAGTGCTTGATCGGGCAGCAGTTCTTCGACGTGCGTTTCGGAGATCGCTACTTCTACGACAACGGCGGCTTTCCGCACAGTTTTACAGCCGCGCAGCTGGCGGAGATCAGGAAGAGCAGCTGGGCGCGCATGATGTGCGACACGCTCGGTCCCGAGTTCGGAAACGACTTCACGCAAGTGCAGCCCCTGGCGTTTGTGGAGTCCACGGTGGGCGCGAACGGCGTGGGCTCCTGCAACTCGCAGGCCATTCCCAGTTTGAACCTAGCAGTGTTCTAGCGGGCCAGCGACCTGTGAGGGTCTCACCAGTCTTCAGCTTACATCGTGTTCGCTGCGATGCTGTGAATCCTTGCACTAGAGGTGATGACGCCAACATATGTCCGATTCAGATATTGCTAGACTTCATAGTTTGGTCGATTGTAGACAACATGGTTTTTGTCCAAATGGTTTTGATGTGGTGGATCACGATAAAAGATCTTGCAAGCGTAGATGCCATAAATGGTGTACACAAGAGTAGCTGCAGCACGCTTAACCTCGCTCGACCTGCAATGACCCTCACCCTCACCCTCGCCCTCAGTAAGACCTGACATCACTAGTGTGTGTAAGTCGATATGTTAATGATGCAAATAAGTTACATCCCAATCGCCAAGAAGTAAAATGTATTGTGGACTTGACTAGAAACATGTCGTAAATAGCCACGGGTCATGTATCACGATCTGCTTAGACAGAAAGGCTGATAAAACTCATATGAGGCGTCAAAATGGTAAAGCGCGGGTGCAGACAATCAGAATACATCTTTACGGTTACAAATTTATAACAGAAAATTACAAACCACGGGGTGCTATTAGCCTCCATCACTTCTTCCTACGGCGAACGTGACAGGAGCACTGTGTTTTACTCCTGATGACCATCACATCATATTACATTACAGGGAGTGCTTCCCACTTGAAGATGTCAAAGTAAGCATCAGATATGATGATATAAGCTCAATTTTAAGTCGTGATATCCTTGTAAGTGGGAAAGACCGTTCTAAATAACATGATTATCTTTTGAATAAAGATGCTTCTCCATATGCCAATTTTTATTCGGTGATCGCACCTGGTCCAACATTGATTGAGAGCCAGTTGACGACCACTATATCCAAAAATCGTGCACGCAAACGCCACATATGAACGATTCGGCAATGATAAATGTCTTGACCTTGACCGCCACATGGTCAATGGAATGAAAGGACTTGAATGGCTTTATTATGACGCCATGTACGCCTGAGTGACCCTCCAGTAGACTACACGAAATCTGCCGCGCATCTCCCTCTGTGTGCAACTAAAAAACTAGAGGGGTTTACATCTTAGACAGGACAGAACTTTAAACTGCACCTAGTGATCTTCAAGATTGGTATTTGAGTTGAAACCCCCATAGGAATGTAAAACACTCCCTTTAACATGCGCTCGGGTGGCGGTCGATTTGACACCCAAGGTTTTTCCGGAATGGTTTTCGAACTGCGCGGCGCAGCCGCGCCAAATTTTGCATAGCTGTAGAAATCGAATACCGGATAACCTGTCAACAAATAAGATATAACTTGTAAGGTCGTTGACCTATGGCCGGTCAAAGTCAAGCCATGGATTCAGTGAAGACAATTTGTACGGATTTTTTTCTTCAATCTGATGAAACAACCGAGTGTTAGACGAAGCCATACATCCCTGAGATACTTTCTAAGACAACGCAGCAATGGAATGGAGTTAAATTTTATCAAGCTGGGTCCGGTAGGAAGGTCAGACCAAGGTCAAAACCAACTTGCTTTATTACTTCAGGGCTTGAGGTATGCGGTAGTTTATGGTGCTCATTTCGAGTTTAATGATAACAGGAACCGCCTTATGCATCTTCCATGGACTTCTTGAAGGTAAGAATAGGTCACTGACCTAAAATGATCGAGGTCAACATTTTGGCTTTTGGAACACACTGCCTAGCGTCATCTTTGTCGCTTATTCAAATGCAAAACTCACAGCAGTCTCGTATGATTTTGGTCCCCATGACCTTCTAAAGGTCAAACAAGGCCACAGACCTTCAATGAGGCTGTGACCTCTTGCTTAGAACAGGTATTTATGTTGTGGGGAACACTTTGGGGGCCAGTCTGTAGTTTAGCTTTGCTTGGCCTTAATTGTCCCGGAGGTCATGACCAAGAAACTTCAAACTTTGATCTAAACAAGTTTACGTACATGTCAACACACAATGTCAATTTGGTGTATCTAGCATTCTTAGTTCCTAAGATCTCAGGTACACAACCAGCCACCCGAACGGAGGGTATCCAACCGGCCATCCGGGCTTATGTTGACCCTCGCCTCGATTTCCTGTTTTTACAGCGGGGACTGATATGGTGGGGGAGGGGGGGGAGGGGAGGGGGGAGGGCGTCCATGCGACTCCTTGGCGTTTCCAACCTCATTATGATGGAGCCTAGCAAAAAAACACCACTTTTTTCTCGTAAAGAGACCTGGCGACCGTCGCAAGTTTTTATTTTGTTGGGTCAATGCTTGAACCCATTGCGCCAGATGAAATGTAAAATGTTTTAGGAATTTGCACCTCTCTAGATTCACATCATACACGCGAGACTATTCCTCTCGTCGAAGTGCAAGCTAGACAAGCGGGTTGCTTGTCTGAGCGTATTTTTTTAGGACATATTTATGATATATGGCTCCGGTAATGTGACAATGTCGGTCCGCTACGCGTATTCCGCGGCATCGTCGATTGCCGCTCGCCCCTCGCGCTGGCCGTAAATCGCCATGCACTGGCCCTCCAAAACCGCCGCTGCTCCAAAACCAGACTAGTTGTGAACACCTCCGGGTGTTGAAACACATGCAAAGCATGTTTCATAGGAGCTTGAACAATTGGGTGCGATGAAACAGCATGCCGAAAATATACTTACAAAATCTTAGAAGTGGTCTCGTCGTCCGCTTCCCCATCAGCACAAGGGTTAATGGCTGTTTCGAGCACGGCAATCTAAAATTGGTAGAATAAAATACACACGCTCTGAGATGTCCGGATACCCCTTGTAAGAGTGTGTGCTTGACACAGCAAAATGAACTGAAGTTACGCTCATTATAAGCAGGCCAAAATGAGCAATCTGTTTGAAACACCAGTGCGATGGTGCTCGCCATGTTGATTTCAGGGTTGTTTTTCTCGGGACCCATTGCCCCTTTTACCATCTCAAGGAACCTTAATTTCTTGTGCAGGTCAGGAGCAATGATGTACTTTAATTGTCCATCGCCTAGGAACCGCATTATACACCTTACATAGATTTCACAAAGGCCAGAACAGATCACTGACCTAAGATGACTCAGGTCAGCCTTCTGTTTTTTAACCTACTGCTTAGTGTAATACTGACGCTTGTTGTATTATATTGCAAGATAGTTGCTTAATATATACATTGCTAGTAACGTTGACGCTTCTTCAAATGCACAACTCAAGGCAGTCTTGAATAATTTTTGTCCCCATGACCTTTGAAAGGTCAAACAAGGCCACTGACCTCAAATGTGCACCACTGAACTTTTGCTTGAGGCAGTTATCTAGGTTTACGGTATATGCGTGAGCAGGTCTGAGGCACTTTGGGGACCAGTCAGAAGTTTCACTTTGTTTGACGTTATTTGACCCGGAGATTATTATTTAGGAACCTGAAATTTTGACAGGAGGTATTTCATGTATAGTCTAGTGTACCCTGTGAATTTAGTGTTTCTAGACTTCTTAGTTTGTGAGATCCCTGTGGGGGGAGGGAGGTTCAAATTGTCCCCCACCCAAGCGAACGGTTTTCAACCGGCCACCCGGACGCGTGTGAACGGCTCGCTCCTTAATGATGGTGGGTATTGAAACGCGGCAGACAGAAGCACAGAACAAACAGTTGAGCAGTGTGTTCCGCCCTGTTATTCCAAAATTTACTGTCGACATTCGTCATTATAAATATATCTAAGGCCTCATCGATGATGATTTCAGCTACGGAACACTCTAAATGATGTTATATACAGAAATCGCAGGGTTTTCCAAACGAAAAGCAAACGAATGAAAGAGAAGGAAATAAGGCTCATACCCACGCGGCCAGCGCACGCGCAGCATACAGCCGTACGAAATCGGAGGAAAAAGTCTCCCACTTACGTGCAAAAATGACTTGTACATACCATGCAAAAATAGCTTTTAAACGCTGGGAACCATAAATTAATGGTCTCATCGTGAAGATGTCTAGAGCCGTATGGCACGAAGATGGTGGACAATCCACCAAATACTTTCGTGGTTTGGGAAGAAGAAATGCAATGCAAAAATCGGTGTTCTTTCTTTAAGTCGGTAAATAGAAGTAAGAATATCACGGTATGTAACCGACACTGCTCTGTTTTGATAGATCATCTGCTTGTCTGGAGAGCACATTAAATTAATTAAAACACTGTCCACGTGTTCTGGTCTGACGCTAAACGTACAAAAACAACATGCGCTTCAATTGGAGCTCCAGTCCAAGACGACATTGAGGACAGCCTCGTCATCAAATATGTGCACCAAATAAAGGTATTGTAGACAACACTTTTCAGAAGTGATCATAACATGACGCAAATTAACATCGAGCCAAAGCTTCTGTGCATAGAAAAGGAGCTAACCCGGAGGCGTAGAACAAAGCTCATTGCTTTCGGAAAGATGCGGTGATTAAATCCGTTCGTATTTCTTACTTAATTTATAGTCCACCACGTTACCAAAGCATCCCTTAAGACTTTTACGTGTATTGGACGCCTTTCCTCTTCCTTTCTGTTGGAATGCAGGCCCATAAATGCCCCATAAAACGTGCAAAAGTAATAACAATTTTCAATCATGGTGGATTGCGCACGGTGACGTACAGGCGTTTGCAAACAGTTTCAAACTTAGATGGCTGATGAGACTGCTGACCCCAGGTGCAGTGTGGGCATAATTAGACGCAGATGAATTATCATCGTTTCAAAATATATTATGCCTCGGAAGCGAAAAAGTGCAAAAGGCTTACACAAAAAAACCGTTCTGGGGAGACGCTATGAAAGCCTATAAACGGTTAAGCCGTGACTACTCTGCTTGGATGTCACAAATTCTGTTAAAAACCATTTGGTTCCCTGATCACGCTTTACTTAAGCATGCGATTATAACCGACTGGGAGCGAAGCCATTTGGTTCCCTGATCACGCTTTACTTAAGCCTGTGATTGTAACCGACTGGGAGCGAAACTACTTGGTTCCCTGATAACGCTTTACTTAGGCATGCAATTATAACCGACTGGGAGCGAAAAAGTCTCCGATTTCATGCGGACTTATTGGACGAGAACACGGGAAAGCTACAACAAAGCCAACCTTAGAACATACATTCCGGATAAGAATGACATCCTTGTTATGAAAGTTTGATGAGACGTATTCTTTATCTCTTCAAGGAAGCACCGTCTGCTACAATTGAAAAGCCCATTTTGCCATTGAGACAGAGTCTTGCAATGAACAAT